GAAGCAGGTTTTTAGCAAGTCAAAACTTCCTCAAAAGAATGTTCATTTTGCAGGAACTGTACTCCTCTGCTGATTTTTTTTTTAAATGTTCAACTACTAACCAGATTTTGCAACAAGGCTTGTCTGATCTCCTGAAAATGTGTTTTTTGGTATAAATAAGTGACAGAAAGTATTACAACAAAAGGGTGATCCAAGTATCTTCAAGTCAATGGCGTGATCTCCAAATACCTCGGTGTACTGTGTTTATGTGGCAAGGGTTTGGCTGTGTGGGGGCTACAGGAGCAGCCTATGGAGGTCTGCAGTGGAGCAGAGATCCACCCCCAGCCCATGGAAGACCCCTCACTGGAGCAGATGGATGCCCAAAGAAGGCTGTGACCCCATAGGAAGCTCTGCTGGTGCAGGTTTGCTGGCAGGAGTTGTAACCCTGCAGGAAACCCACACTGGATCATTCTGTTCCTGAAGGACTGGATACTGTTGAAATGACCTATCCTGGAGCAGTAGTGTGTAAGGAAGAAGGAGCAGCAGAGACAACCTGTGATGAATTTCACAATTCCCATTCCCTATCCTCCTGTGCTGCCAGGCCAGAGCAGATAGTGAAAATTGGGAGTGAAGTAAAGTGCAAGAAGGGGCGGGGGGGGGAGGAATATCTTTTATGATGTAGTTTTTATTTCTCATTACCCTCCTCTGATTTGATTGCCAATAAATTAAAGTCACTTCCTCAAATTGAATCTCTTTTGCCTGTGACAGTAATTGCTGAGAGATTTCTCCCTGCCCTTTTCTCGACCCACAAGCCTTTTGTCATCATTTTCTTCCCCTGCACAACTGAGGAGGGGAGTAATAGAGTGACTTTGGTGGGTACCTGGCATCCAGCCCAGGTCTATCCACCATGTTCACAGAAACATTCTCTAAAAAATACACAAAAGGAAGGCCATAGCCTTTGTTCAAGGCATCCGATTTACATAGGAATTGCAGAAACATGAGCCTAAATATCTAATAGAGTTGAAAGAAACTAAATTAAATGCTTATACTGCTGTAACATACACTAAGTGAATGATACTTTCTCTACATCGTTTTCATGCTAGGTTTAAAAAACAAATGCATTCACATGAAGACAAACCAATGGCTGCTGCCTTTTACTTAGCCTTCATGGAAGTTTTCTCTGCACACATGGACTAGCTAGGAGATTTGTTTTAAGGCTATGAAAAGACCATTTACCTGAAGACTGACACATAAAGTCACACTGGTCCATAATAATTTTCAAGGACTATTATTAATTTGTTGGTTTGAAACAACTTGCCTGGACCAGAGCTATGATGATGATAACCATCTTTTTGCCCATCTCTTGAAAAGGGCATCACTAAGATCAATGGAAAAATTAATTACATGCCCTTGGGTGAAGGTAAGTATTAATGCTGTTATTGTAATGGAAGTTTACAAATTCAGTTGTTAATCCTAAAGTCTTGAAGTTAAGCACTGCATAGGTTTTCTGCCACACTTATGATTGCATCCTGTGAATTACATTTTTAATTACCAGCTCAGCCATAACTATAAATACACTGTCTTTCAGATAGCTTGTTAGGTAACAATGGGAAAATAAACAACCATAGCTCAAACAGTTTCTTAGCCAGAAGAGCTCTTCAACTTGCCCTGTTCTAATCAATTCACGAGTACTGCTCATAGATCATGCATGGATCAGATATCTACAAAAGGCAACATAATGAAGCCAAGATGTTGTTTACACCAATTCTAGAAACAAATGATAGCAAGAGTCACGAACCAGCAGAGAAGCTGGTTTACAGTTTCCTCTCCATACATTTTTCTAGTTACACAGTTCTTAAAGTGGTTTTTCTTGTGGAAAGTCTATCATCAATCAAATGAAAAACACTTCAACTTTTTCAAAAATGGAAACACAATAAAGGTTATTTATAAGAGCATATCACAAACAATAAATGCAGTGTCTAAAAGCTAAAATAGCAAACAAATGTAACTAATAAAAACTTGTTTTGAATTAAAAAAAAAAATAAAAAAATCAGTCTACCTGGTCAACGAAAGGATGTTCCTTCCCACTTCCACTGAATTTATCTATTTACAACATCCACAGGTCCCAGTGCTTGAAACAAAAGATGAAGCCCCTTCAGAGAGCCTGGCTGTGTCTCAACCTCATAATATCTTTGTATCAAAAGCAGTATTGTTATACTCTATATAGTCAGGAATTGACCAGCTGGCAGAATATTCTGAACACAGCTCATAGAAAAACTAAGAGCTTTAACAAACAAGACCCAGAAGCAAGCCATAGCAGCTAAGAATTTGGGTTTCAGTTGTTATTTTACTGTTTTATCCATTTCTCTCCCAAAAACTCAGAAGTCAATTTTTAGTGAGTATCCTAAGTGCAGCACTCAACAAACACCCCTGAAGAAAATTATAGTGAGATAAATTTTTCATGCCAGAAAAAAGAGAAAATGTCAAAAGGAGAAATTACATGTCATGGATAACAGCATCATCTTGAATATGATTTTAATGTATCAGAGTGTAATGTGACAAACTGCACTAATTATTTTAAATCTCATCATACTAAAAATATCTCTGTCCACATAAAATATTAAGGGCTATAATGAACATAGGAATTCAAAATTAGAAAGGAGAAAATTACTGCATTAGTAAATGTTCTATCAGTGACAAAAATAATTATTTAAAAAAATAAAACTTATCAGGCAGGCAAACCCACAGAATTCTCCAAACCATCACTATCCCTCTGTTTACATCCTCTAATAATGAGAAGAGCAGACAAAACAGAATATGCCATACTGTAAATTGGAAAAACTGTAGAACACATCAGCAACAGACTGCACATCCATAAGATCAGAAAAACAGAGACCAAACTGTAATATCATCTCATTTGGCTTTCTGGTTTGTGCATCCCTCTCCTGGAGAATGCCTGCTCCTTCACATACTTGTCCATTGCCCTCTGTACACAAAATGCAGCCCAGCTAACTAGATGAAGTCCCTCACATAACCTTCAGAGAGGCACAGCTAAATTAGGCCATATATCAGAGCATATGAAGACAGCTTTAGCACAATGAACACTGGGAAATGTGTCGTAACAAGAACTAAGGAGGAAGAGCTTAAAATCTCTGCCCTAACAGTGAACCACTTGTTTCACCTCTCTCTGAATACTGAACGGGTTTTGGAGCTCAAAGATTACAAAAATTTTGTATGAAAAATTGGTAATTTTTATGTTTTGGGGTTTTTTTGTTCAAAATATTTATTTTTTCTAATAGTTTAAAAATCATTTGCCTCACCAGTGACTGAACATAAGCACTATTGTCAGTAGATGTGGAAGAATATAAATGGAAAAAGTGTATAAAGAAAAAAAAAAGCCCACAGCATTAATATTAATAAGTTAAAATTAGACACAGTCTGACCTTGTGAATTACCCAGGAGATCTGATTAAGTGCAATCAGATTCCAAGCACTATAATGCTGGGAATAGTGCCTGACCTAAGAGCTTTTCTCATCATGAAATGTCAGCAATAATGACCTCAAGCAACTTCACCCTGAATTTGCTCTGCCTTTGATAAAATACCGTGATAGATCCACAACGTAATAGTAACTTACAAGCTTAGAGAGTCTTCATCATTAAGCATGACATTTTTCCTATACAAAGTGCCAAACTGGAAAGAGAGGCCAAAAGGTCACAATCCAAGGAAGAAGCCTTTCAAAATGCTTTCTTTCAGCAAAGGGTTGCTGCAAAGCCAATGCTGCTAATGTGATCCACAGGGGCTCTCTTCAACAAGCCTGATGGGACAGTTTTAAAATGACCAGTTAAATGCCTGTAGAGATCCAGCTTCCTAATTATTGACTGACCTACGTATTTTTGACATCAGTTATGCCCCTGAGAACCTGACTTGACAGGTAGTTAAAAGTCCACAGTTAAATAAGTTCTGAAATAGCCAAGACAAGCAGCCTGACTTCCTAAGAAGATTAGTTTCTTCTGTTCATCGGAATGTTTTGGGAACTGTGTAAAAACAGACACTATTTCAAAAGAATAGAACCTTGCAAGATTTTGTATGCCAAAGAGCTAATATATACACACATGTACTGCAGTCTAAAAATACCTTAAAGCATATAAAATAATGTGTGCCATAACCATCTGTTGATCAGAATACATTCACATGCAAGGGCTGGGCCTCAAGAAAAATGGCAATTTCAGTTTTGTCAACCACTTACTGAAAAGCACCATGGCCAGTTATAGTTGCAATGTTCATGTTCTCCTCAGCTGATGCTGAAAACTATTTTAAGGTTAGAAAGCTGACTACAGAAGCTGCTTTATAGCAATGGGAAGAGTAATTAAATCTGTGAGATTCAACCAGTCTTTAAAAAAATTCACACAGATTTGGTTTTGCCATAATTGGTTTTCTGCTCTCACCATCACTTCTTCATTGAACCACCCTCCAGAAGGATGCAGTGTCACATCAGAAAGTAAAAGGCAGAAAAAGACACAAAGCTAAACATTGAGTCAAACAGGGAGGCAAAATGTGCCTTGTAAGACTGAGCAGAATGAGGACTTATCCTAGCACAGTACAGAGAAAGATTAGAACAGAACCAGAGAAGAAATGAAAGGAGGAACACCTTGAAGGGTGTTTTATTGCTCTTCAAGAATAAGCCCTAAGAATTTCAGAAACACAAATATTTTTGTAAAAAAGTAATGTTTTATTATTTCTTACAATGATCAATAGATTTATGGCTGAAAATAGTGGGTAAGTGGCATACTGCTTGTCCTTCATTGTGCTGGTATGTACTATGTTTTCCATTCTTCTGCTTATTCCAGTGAATGCAAAGGTTTCATGTTAAATCTAAATCCTCCATCAACCTCTAGAATTATTTTCCATCAGTATCCAAGTTTCACCTGTATGACATGACTCCAAATACAAAAAGCATCATCAAGGAAAATATGAATCTTGAATAATTATCACCTTTCTGAATCACAGACTCACACAGTACCTGTGGATGTATCCACTGTGAAAAAAGAAGAAAATTCTCCTGGGACCAGTTCATATGTGACAACACCAAACACTCCTGAATCTCTGTCTGTGGCAACAACATTGATGATTTCTGTTCCTGGCTGTGTGTGACTGCTGATACTTGTCACATAGATGTCTTGTTCAAAAATGGGTTGATTGTCATTAATATCTTCTATCTCAATGCGAACAAAAGCTTGGGCACTCAGACCACCCTGTTGGATAAATAAGAAAAAACAACAAAAAACAAAATCAATTTTTAAAACAGGATGGTACACAATTGGCTGGGGTCCGTCATTAGGAAATGGAACATACTGCAACAATATTGCAATGAAAATGTCCATTAAAAGCAACTTGTACCCCAAAACACAACACATAAGGCAAGCTACATGCGCAGCACAGCACCAACGGCTGATCGAGTACATAAAGAAATTCAGCTTCTCTACAACGGTGAGGCCTGAACTTCAAGTCAATTTTGTTAATGCTAATGAACACCACTCAGCAAAAACCTTGCTAGTCTAGCCTCACATGCTTCTGCTGACATCACCAACACTCCACTTATTCCTTCACAGATAAGCCAGGGACTTTTTTCCCCAGAAAGACATGCCCCTCAGGTGACTGTAGTGCTCCAGTAAAGCAGGAATAACTTCTCTCATCTATTTTTCAGATGTAAAAGCATGGCCATCATAAGGGTGAATAAATGAGGCTTTTTTTACCAGAGACACAAAGCAGTGCAGGACAGCCAAAAGCTGACCTGTCAGGCTGCTGTCTACAAGACCTAGCCTCAATTTATTGACTGATGCCCTACAAACACCCACTAAAATACCACATGGTATAAAGTACCACATTTAGCCTTGCTCTGGAGTGAAACTGGAGAAGAAAGGAGCCAACTGGAAGATGGATTATCAGACTATGCTACAGAAAAATACTGATTTGCTATGACAAAGCACTGAATTCTGTGACAATCTGCAAAAATGACAGTTCTGTGGGTGCTGAAGTGCCCCAGTGAAATTAATGGCAATTTACTTCTCAGAGGACTCCTTCCATGAGTTTGGAGGGACTCGTGTTTCCAAGATTATTTTACAGCCATAGGAAGTACAAGCATTTTTAAAAGACAGCAGGTCCACTGTGGCAGAGATAAAAGTCAATTCTGAGGCACTGGCATGTTCAGAGGCACAAGGCAGCACAGGCATGTACAGTTTGCACGTGCTTTATGCACTACTTTAAAACACAGATGGAGGAAGAATCCTGAGCTCTTCAAAGTCACACTGAGCGTGCTGTGCTTGTAGCAGTCACTTAGAGAAACTGCTGACAGAGATCAGATGTTCATGCATACGCATGACAAACTATGCTGAGCTAGTGCAAACTTCATTTTGCAGTCACAGTAGCCACCACACAAAGAAAACCAAACCGACTCTAAACCAACTATGTTGCATAATTCTGCAATCAAATTTTTCACATCAATTATTTTTAAACCTGACCTTCATTAAATTATCCAAGGATTTAAACTGACTATGACTCCTTTAGACTTACCTTGCCATATAACAAGCACACAAAACTATTTTTGAGCGTTTGCTTACTGTATCTCACACATTTTCATAGTGATTTTTACTTTGTCCTGGTTTTGGTTTTTTCCACTGTGTTGTAATGTTACCTCTATTGGGTGCAGTGACATTCCTATAAAGGCTCAAATAAGCAGAAAATTAAGATGATCTTGTGCATCATATGTCTGTTTCACCCACAAACAAGGAGATCTATCCCACATCCTCCTGGTATGCTTCTGAGGGAAATAAGGCATGGCATGCTTCCACAGCTCATGCTGCTGCACAGGCAGAAGCCAGCACTCTTGCCTGAGGACCAAGACTCTAAAAGACGGTCATCAACCTACCAATTATTGTGACTGCCACGAAATCCCATGCCAATATGGAGAAATGGAGATGGCAGTGAGCCCAATGTCAACACCCCCACTTCAGGGCAAGCCCCCTTCCCCAGTACCTCGATTTCCATGATAAGGAAATCCCTGCATAGGAGCTAAAAGGGAATGCAGGGGAAGGGGAGGGAATGTGCTCTGCTCACTGTCAGAAGGTGTTCTGCGTGTCTACAGCCTTCAGGTACTTCAGAACAGAAATCAATTATTTTTAAGGGAAGAGGACCAGGGAGAAGTGAGATCAAGAATAAAGAGCATCTAAAACAAAGATGGTTAGAACAGCATGAAACCAAACTCACAAGAGCTTGTGTTAAACTGTTTCTTTCAAGCTACATCATTGCTAAACAGACCTGAAAAAACCCCAAACCCCACTCTTCAGACAATCTACATTTGTGCTACAGAGCTATGTAAAGACTGAAAAGTCCTTTGAAAGTGATTAACCCGAAGTATATAGGGAAACCTATTCTCCAAGAAGACTGACCAAATTTCATGATGGAGACACAACCTTCTTTTCCTGAAAAAGCAGTGTATACCCTTCACATGCCAAGTATGATATTTACTCAACTTATGATATTAACTGGTTATGGCATAATTCTTGCTCTGACAACTGAACCAAAGTGCAATTCCAATTGAGAAGGAACAAAAACTCCTATTTCTAATGATGAGGATATACTTCATCTACTTGGAAGCAAGCAAATCTTCCAAAATATGAAGGCTGACTCACATAAATTGTATTGCTGACAGAAAATTACATTTGTCAAAACATGTTAACACAGAGCAGAAAGCCACGGCTGTTCATTTTAAAATCCCTTATCTCAAATGTTTGAGTACTTTTAACTACTGTTGTACTCCCTGGTGTCACAAAAAAAAAGTCACAATTACAATGACTTCTCTGTCAGAGTCCTGAGGGTTGTGTCCCTTGTGAAAGAAAAAGGGGACATAAACTACCATCAAGCCAAAATAACAATTAATGTTTTCATTACTTCAGAAGGATCAAATTTGTGTGAATAGCTAAAGCTATTAGTAGACCTCTTATCAAGTAGACCTTTGTCAAGTCTTAACAAAAAAAAACAAACTTACCCTGCCTTTGGCAGGGGAAACTTTGTCTTAAGTAGAAATTATGCTATTTTGAGCAGCTGTATCTCTTCATTTTGGTGCTGTAAAATGCTTAAAACATCAAGATTTTCATCACAGCCTCCAAAGTTTTTGTCAGTGAACCATGCTGTCAAATTTTTGCTCCAAACTGAACAATTAGATACAGAATCTCTGACATAAAGGCCTTTTTTTGGTAAACCTAAAGGATAGGTCATCTTGAAGTGTGACACTGTCAAAGTGGAGAGATGTCTCCAATTATTTCAACAGCCTGAAGTTCTTCAGAAGCTTTGCCTGTGAGTTTCAAGTGTTTATATTTAGGTTTCAATTGCTCCAGTGTAAAAGACAAAGAAAACTGGATAGGGTGGATTACCAAAAAGTAAGAGAAAGTGTCTCTCTATGCAGAAAGGCAGTAAGAAAGTCACTAACACACCTGCTGATAGTGTACTGATGTAGTGCAGTGATGATGAAGCAGCTGAAAAATTGAAGACCTACCATTTCTTCTTTCTCCACAAGAGACAAGGATACTTCTTTTCATCTTTGCTTAATCAGTGAGAATGCTCCCACAAGCTCTCACAGGATGTTTATTTAAAACCAGTTTAACAGAAGCTGTTTTCCACCTGCCTGTCCATGAGCTCTTGTGTGCAATTTAAGTTCACTCCTTACATTTTCTACACAAGGCATGAAAGGCATGACTGACAAGCTCTAAAGCCATGTAATGGAGTAGCCAGAAACAGGTGGGGAAAACTAATAGTTTTGCTGTAAGATAAACTGCACACCACCTGGAAAATAGTTTATTTTCCTCCTCATTTCTAATTAACTGTGTTATTTTCTTTCCTTTTCATCTCTCTACCCTCCTTTGTCACAAGTGACCCTTCATTCTTCATCTCTTTTTTCTGTTCACATTTCTCCCCTGATCACAGCCTCTTAGACTCATACCTATCATCTTTAATCCCTCAAAATAAGCAGCAGAATGTCAAGAAATAAAATAACTATCCTACTACAATTCTGCTTTAAAGGTAGAGAGTTGGTCAACACAAGTTCAGATGCACTGAAAATTTTGAAAAGCTGATATTGAAATTAGGTGCTTTAGTATTTAGGTGTCAGTTGGGAAAACTTCTACAAAGTACAGAGTTCCAGTAAAAAGAGCAAGCTTTGCTTGTCACACACAAGGCAATAAAAAACAGAACTTTTTTCCCCCATTACTGAACTTCTGAAAACACAAGTTCCCTAAATGAAGATAAATGACAGAGCAATTTAAAATTAAATACCCTATAGTTTCAGTGCATTGGCTATTTTCCTTTTACTTGAGATAAGATTTATCAACAGAGCAGTAATTTAACTTAAATTAAGGCATCTAGCATTTTTCATGCAAACATATTTTCTTTCAGATTTTCAAAATAAATTTCTGCACCAGCATGAATATCTTAGAAACTTTTCAGAATTTAGCTGCTATTGTCAAGTTCTCACATACACTTTATTAATGACTAATCTTGATATTCCAGATGTGTATGTGTTCTTTACATTTTTACAGTTCCAAAGCATGTGAATGAGAGGAAAAACTAAACAAATAGGAGAATTCATAATTTTCTGTTGTTATACATTTCAATACAGACTGCTTTACTCTTCAAAGTTTGGGTGTCTGTACTCAAGTAAAAATTCTGAAGACAGAAATCAGATACAAGTGAAATTCCAAAATGGTCAGATAGAACCACCTCTGCTATAGACATTACAGGCGATGTCCTGGAAAAACCCACTCTTATATCCTTATGTTATCATCACAGAATGGTTTGAGTAGGAAGGGACCTTGCAAAGGTAGTCCAGTCCAAGCCCCCAGCAATGAGCAAGGTAAAGTTATTAGACATTCAAATCAGATGAGTATGGAAATAAACATACAAATATATTTAATTTTTTTCTTTAAAAATCTATGAGGCAGAAAAAGCACACTGCTAAAGGCAATATTAATAAAAGAGTATTTCTGTAGCCCCAGATATGAACACTGAATTGTGACAGCTAAACAAAAAGACAGACTGTTTATCTGTTACAGAAATATCAGAATTCAACAAAACAGAGATACACCCTCAACAGCTACATTCTCAAAATGAAATAATTAATACAACCATCAACTGCAGCTATTTAAGTCCGTCTACTCATGAGTATGGAAATCATACTTCACTAAGTTTCTTCAGTGTACAATAACAAAAATTACAGGCACTTTAATGAAAAATATGCAGCACAACTGCATTTTTAAAATGTTGTATTACATACACTTAGGACATTATCTTAAAAGCAAGTTTAATTAAAAGTAAGAAATAAAAACTGCATAGCCTGAAATAACTGAATTTCTATGTTTTTCAGGACAAATTGTACTGCAAAATGTGACCTGAATTACAGTTTTAAAAGTGTCCTTATGTTAATTTCAACATTTGAAGGCAACCAATAACCTTTTCTTCAGCTTCTTCACAATTCACTATTAAGCTGAAGAAGGTGAAGACAAGTACAGACTGGGCCTCCAAATGCAAACCACCTCTGAAAATTACCATGCAAATCACACAAAATGAATATTTTGTAATGAAAATAATATAACAAATAATTTTCTTCCATTATTTTTCTGGAGCTTACTAGCAAAATTTTTTTGTTGTGTGGTATCAGGTAGGCAAGGTGTCCATTCCTAGACATCTTAATATATTCCCTACCACACTCTCCTTGCCAGGATCTGCAACAGACTATTTCAGGCACATGTGACTACCCTGTCCTTGCCGTACCATGAATACCCACTTGCAAGCACCAGATCTTGTAAAGTGGGAAAACACTCAGACATGCAGCTGAAGGGAGTTTGCACCCAGCTACAGCAGCAGCAATGCCATCAGCCAGCTAGAAAGGACAATGAATTTAGCCAGGAAAGTCACTGCCACCCACAGTAGCCATGCAGTTCTAGCCCATGGTACTGTCTTATTGTAGCTGCAGTGATCTTGAAAGCAGGGAGTAGAAGTAACTTGAAGTCCATTGTTTCCAATTGGAGGAGGAAAATTAGCAAGGACTAACACATCCTAGAAACCTTTTTCCAAACCTTATTTAGGAGTGATTTGGTATTTCACAACAAATTTTATTAATTTGGGTAAAAATTCACAGTTCATGAATATAATTTTCGTCTCTCTTTAAGGATAAAATATATTATTCAAATTCATGCAGTTTTCACATAGTCGCTACATTCTCATTTAAAAGTATACCAGACATCCAAATTTGCAAATACATTCACAAATCTGGCAGTGTAGAAAGGTGAAACTTACCCCATCTGTAGCTTTTACTAAGAGATCATAAGTGGTTGGATCTCCTTCTCTGTCAATGTCTTGAGACACAAAGATCTGACCAGTGCGTGGGTCAATCTGGAAAGCTTTGGATTTTTCATAAAAATTAAATCCATCATAAAGAGAATACTCAATTTCTCCAAACTGGTCAGCATCTGCATCTGTTGCTTTGACCTGCAGAGAGACAACAGATAAAAATTAAGCTGGTGAAACTATTACTCATTAAAACAAAAGTATCTGTGATTTTTGAACCCGTTATGTATTGTAAAAGCAAATGCGTATACACAGAATAAATACAAACATGTTCTGCTACCAAAGCTGGCTGCCTGCAGTTCATAAAATATCTCAGCTACTGACAGTGTAATTATCACTCTTCTTCCTTTCCCATGACTATAAAAGCCACATTCATTAAGCCATGTCAATAGGCCACACCTTAAACTATTTCTCCTTTTTTTTTATTTTTACCAGTGGAGGTAGCTCTTGTGAAAAAATAGAAATCTCTTATGTCATATGTAGATCAGAAAAGTGCTGCAGGACATCCTTACCTAATGTATTCTATAAAAGACTCCACAGATCTTAATTTAGTTTTCACTTGAAAGAGGGCTTGGTGGTACTCATGCTTTTTTGACCCACAGGTGGGTTGATTTAAAATGTATTTGACAAACACAGAAGATTTATACATTGCTCCTCCAATTTTATGCTCCCAAGATCTTTGATAACAAGTGTTTTGTGCCGAGTTTGGCTCCTCTCTGGCACACTCCATTGTGATAGTTTTCACTTAAATTTAGAAACATTTTGGTAGAAAATAATTTATAAAAATATGTATGCATTAAGAAAGCCAGTATTTTCAGTTCTCTAATTTATCATTATTGGATATATATGAAGAATTTCTCCTTTACAATTGGTTTCCTTTTCTACTTTTTCTTTGAAAATTATAAATTCTGTGGGTTTTCCATCAGCCTGTCTATATAAGCACAATGCCTGAAGACCTTAACAGAGCTTTGGAAACTTTAGTATCACGAAGCCCAAGAGCTAGAATTGGTGGGAGCTCACAGAGAAGACCTGTGCCAGTCACTGTCTGCACCTGACACAGGCTGAATAAGATGAGACCCACAGCCATCAATCACAGACAGGACAAAGGTAGAGGTATGCCCATGTGCCTGCCTGCACACAAAACCATCTGGCACAGTTTAAGGTAGAGTTTCAAAAGAAACAGACCAGGACAGGGAGTATTCCTAGAAGTACATTTGGATTAGGTCATCCTTTTGGGGTGATATAAATTAATTTAGTTGCATGGACACAAACTGTGCCAGGTCATTTGGCCTTGGGACCCAGAATAGCCTTTGGCTGCTGCTCCTACCAGAACAAATGTGGCCATAAAGACCAGTTGGTGCCTGCATCACAAGCTCTCTTCTTTGCCCACACAGGAATTGTTTTGGCACTAAGATACTTAACTGAGACTGAATTAAAACCAAATGAACAAAACATGCTGTGGGAAGGCTGAAAAGCATGGAAGTGGGGAAAGGGAAACCACATAAAAAGTGCCAATCTAAATTATAAAGTTAAAACTTACTCTAGACAAGTTACATCAATCAGAATTTTAAAATGACAACCCAAAAGATACACATGTTATTTCAATTATTATTTTTTGCTTGTGATTTGGTTTTTGCTTGTTTTTCAGACTTTTCCACTTATTGAAAACTCAAGATTTTTTGTATTGCAGAAGTATCACTGTGACTGCACCACATACTTCATAATATTTTTCCTCCCATAAGAAGGCTTTCACAACACCAAAGGCCATTATACCAGAGTTTCTGCAAAAACAGAAAAAAGCTCCTTTAGGAAGAGCCCTGTGCTCGCAGAGCCCTTTATACCCTTTTTTACACCCTTGCAATTTTCATCCCACAGCTACAGCACAGTGTGCAACGTGTGGCCACTCCTGACCTCAGTCCAACCACTTGTTCTGGGTAATTTAAAGGCAGAATTCACAATCATGCATAGCTAAACAATGATTCAATCCTAAAAATGTTTTACAGCTGTATGTAAATCAAGTCTACAACATGCATATTTCTCCAGCCTATACTTTGTTATTTCTGTCATAAAAACAAGAACAGAACATACATCTAGTGTGCTCAGTAATCTACCACCCTAATGTTATGGAACAATAATTCACTTGGCCCTTATAAGAAAAGTATTTCAATTTATTTCTTTGCCTGAAATCCAACAGGAGTGACAGTACTGAAAGGTTCTGTCTGACTGTGCCTACATGCAGTTACATGTATAAATGCAAACATTTTTGTCTGTAACTGAGCATGAATGATTAATTACAGGTGAAATTTGAGGCTATTGTTAAAAGTTTAGCTCATTACGTTCAGTGACTTGTTTTCTTTGTTGTAAATTATGCAGTCCTCAGACTTTGAACAGTACATGTAAAGGCATAATGAGTAATGCATTTAAATAAAAACACTTCAGTTCAAGGCAATGCAAATTTAAAGGTCTAATTGTGATCAACTTCAATTACTATAATCATCTCTCAGGCAGCAGTTCTAAGTGGTAGCAATTTTTGCAGAAAAATATAATCTTTCTCCCCATTCAAGTACCTCACATCCATTCAATTTCTATCCACTTAATAGTCCTTTTTATAATCACTCACCATGGAACCTTTAATCCAAAGAGGGAAGATCTGGAATTAAAAGTGAATGAAAAATTTCCTCTAGCAGACAGATCTGACATTGAATGGCACTATACTTGAGGTCAGGGAAGCTATTAACCATGATCATAGAATCATTTAGGCTGAAAAAAGACCCTTAAGATTACCAACTTAAATGCAAGTTGATTTAGAAGGAGGAATTCAGTGAAAAACATGCTAAGAAATTCAAGGTTTTTGACACAATTAAGAGACCAAGTTGTTGAAGATCTTAGAAATTAAAACACATTAAAACATGTTGGGGTGTGATAGGATACTGTGAGTACCAATCCTACAGAGTATTGCAGCAGTTAATTGCCGAAGAGCTGTGAGTTACAGCAGCCAAAACAGGAGGAAATGAAGGCAGCAGCAGGAATTTTCACAGTGGACTGATCAAGAGTGTTGTATGTTGGCAATATCACAAAGGTGATAGAGTTAAACGGATTTATGTGCCTTAAAGGAGTGGGAGGCAAGAGAGTACCAAATAACAACCAAGTAACACCTCTGACAAGCCTAATACAACAAGATTGGAATCTTGGAGAAAAAGAAACGGGAAGAAAAGGAAGGCTTATTCCCCCAAGGTCTTTCTCGTTTTACTAAGTATGTTTTCAATACAGTGAGTTGAACATTCAAGTTTTTAAGAAGTGTAAACTTGGGAATAAGTTCAGGACAAAGTATTTTCCCAAGAAACACTTTTTAATACCAGCAAGAGTCAGTGTATGGATAGCTCCTGGCTGGATCTCTCCCATCAGTCATGCTTCCTGTAGCCTACATCCTTTGGTCAGCTTGTGCAATGTCTAGACTAAAAATCTGTCAGAGAAAAAGAGTTTCTTCTGTCCTGTTGACACTACCAATAAAGTGGTCCAACTTCAGATATCCTCTCTGGAGGAGAAAACAGGGGGACCTAGAGAAATGCTATGCAGAACAAGTAAAAAATATGACCCATCTGTGAGATGATGAGACAGACTAGTGCAAGAGAATAATAAATGGTGTGAAGTGGTAGACACTAAAGGGTGTAAGAAGACAAATAAAATTCAACAGTGCTGGAAGTGCAGAAATATTCTTCTATTTGCATACGGAAAAGAGGGGATGATCTCAAAGAATCTGTGATTTTAAGGGTAATTACACTAATTTCTTCACCCACTTCAACCTGGTAACACATGTAAATGGAAAAAAAAAAAATTGCTGGCAGTACACTTAAGAGGGAACAGATACATTTTTTAGCACTGTGCTGAGAAAGGAGAGACTTCAGAGCTTACAGAAAGCAAACATTCAGCAGATCTTCATCTGCTTCCATTCACTTCAGTGGAATGATGACAACTCACAGAAGTGGGCAATATGTCTCCATATTTTACAGTCATTGAATATTGTAACCAATAAACTAATAGTAAACAAGTTTATAGAGAAACAGATCTGCTACTGAACTCCACATTGTTTTAAACACAATGTAATTTTAAGATAAAAAGCCCCCTGGTTTGTTTGTTTTTTTAAAATTTCTACTCCTTTTTATCCTGAACGAATTAAAGTCCCCTTGGTTGTATTTAGCTTTCTTTCTTTTGCTTCTTAGATATTATTTCCTAACAACTAAACATATTTTGAAAAGCAGAGCAGATATTATGTTATATGCAAAAATGGGGGGAAATGTCTTGTTCCCCCAAAACCACAACAGGAAAGACAGCACTATTATTTGCAGATCAAGAGCCTATATAAAAATTTTTACGATTTAGAAAATGCAGCCTTAAAGATGACTGATTGGCAATGCTGAATTTCACATGTGAGTGACCAGGATTAATTTACATCTTTCAGATAGACAGACTAAAGTAGACCCGACTGCTGGAAAGACCAGACCATTCAGCCAAATAAGTCATCACCACAGTCATCTGTGATAGCAGTTAAATGAGACTAAGAAATATCAATTCTCCACAGCATAGGAATTTTTCCCATACCACACATTCTGTTAAGTTTACTTCACTTGATTTCAGCTAACCAAGATACAGATTTCATAGCTGTTAAAATCTGTTTGGTGGACTCAATGTCAGAGCATAAGACAGATTTTGTGCATTTATTTTGCGCACAAAAAGCCTGATTGTTTTACTTCTACTGATATCATGAAAAGTAAGTTAATTACCAGCAGCCAATTTTAAAGAAAATCAGAATATATGGTAAATAAAAGCATACTAACACTACTGAGGACAAACAAGGGATCAGGCCCAGCCAGCATAGGTTTAGGAAAAACAGGTTCTCCTTGACTAACCTGATCTCTTTTTATGGCAGGTGACCCGCCAAGTGAGCGAGAGAAAAAGCTGTGGATATGTCTACCTCAAGTTCATTCAAGCATTTGATACTGTCTCCCACAGCATTCTCCTGGACAAGCTGGCAGCCCATGACTTGGATAGGTGTACTCTTCACTGGATTAAAAATGTGCTGGATGGCCAGGCCCACAGAGTGGTGGGAAATGTGCCACAACCAGTTGGATGGGGCCATCCCTGTTCCATATCTTTATCAATAGTTTGGTCAAGCAGACTGAGTGCATCTTCAGTCAGTTTTCAGACAACATCAAGTTGGGTGGGAAGGTGGATCTGATGGAGGGCTGGAAGGCCTGGAAAGATCCAGACAGGCTGGACTGATGGGCTAAGGCCAATTGTATGAGGCTCAGTAAGGGAAAGTGGTGGGTTCTGCACTTGGGTCACAACAACCCTGTGCAGAGTTTAAGGCTGGAAAGCTGTCCAGCAGAATAGGACCTGGGGGTTCTGGTCAACAGCAGCCAAACACGAGCCAGCTGTGCTCAGGTGGCCAAAGCAGCCAATGGCATCCTGGCATCAGGAAAAGCATGGCCAGCAGGACCAGGGCAGTGATTGTCCCCTGTACTTGGCACTTGTGAGGCCACCTTGAGTCCTCACCAAGGCTGCTTCCTTGGCACCTTGAGTCCTCTGTCCAGTTCTGGGCCCTCACTACAGGGAGGACATTGAGGTGCTGGAGCATGTCCAGAGAAGAGCAAGAGAGGTGGTGAAGGGTCTGGAGAGTAAATTATACAAGGAGCAACTGAGGGATCTAGGGCTGTTTAGCCTGGAGAAAAGGAGGCTGAGGGGTGACCTTATCACTCTCTACAACTACCTGAAAGGAGGCTGTATCCAGGTGGGGGTTGGCCTCTACTCCCAGGTAAGAAGTGACAGAACAAGAGGACATAGCCTCAAGCTGCACCAGTAGAGGTTCAGGTCAGGAAGAAATCAGGAAGAATTTCTTCACTGAAGGGGTGATAAAGCAATGAAACAGGCAGCCTAGAGAAATGGGGGAGTCACCATCCCTGGAAGTGTTTGAGAAATGACTGGAGGACTTAGAGGTATTGTTTAGTTGATATGATAGTATTTGATCAAAAGTTGAACTTCATAATTTTGAAGGCCTTTTCTACCCTTAGTGATTCTATGACTGTATACGCCACAATATTCATCATCAAACTGAAGTTGAATGGAGATGAACTGAAAAGACAAGACAAAAATAGACAAAATGGTGAAAACTAAAAAAAAACAAAAAAAAGAGGTAACTACCAGGGACCTAAAAAGCAAAAGTTAAGTGACAGGTTTCTGATCAATGGTGTAAGCATGGTTCTGTCATGCAGCCATCAACAGCACAAAATCCAGCACTGTTACATTTGACATAATAAAGGACAGCAGGCCTGGAACAGGCACAGCAATACCTGACAGCATATCCTCACCAGATAAGCGTTTTAATTCTTCATGTAGGCAACCCAAGCATCACCAGAATAGTTAACTACTGTGGAAGCATCTGCTCTGCCAGACCTTCATGCCAGGTCCACAACCACAGGGAAGGAAAGGAGTAGTCTGAGTTGGTGGCATGCTGTCAGCAAAATGTGACTGTAGAAATATTGGCAGTGAAATTACTTGTAGAAGACATTTTTCAAGTCAGTTGCATGTATCTGTATAATAGATCAGCATGTGAACTGCCACAATCACACATCAAATGTCTTCAAGTCAGTGCTCTGACTTACAACCCTGGTTAGTGAGAAAACAGCCTATCAAATACAAACCAATGATCTCTGCTCACAGCTGCCTGAGGCAGTGCAGACAATAATGCTGACAGCAAGCCTAAAGAGTGTAATAAATACATTACT